ATATTTTGTATTTTGACATCACAATCATCTAATTTGAACCAGTGCTGCATTCAACATACCATGTCACACACAAAAATTGAGGTTTAGCTGGTTTTTTTTAATATTTACTTTTAAATTAAGAAATTAACTAATGTATAATACTAAAATTTGAAATATAAGCTACAATTTGATACCAAACTTATTAACTTAGATCCATAAAGTAATAGTTCAATAAATTTTTAATGCAAGTCAACTAATGTGATGACATGGCCTTTGACACATGACCCATCAAGATAGGGTTAAGCAGATACCCTTTTAAGTATTTTTCTTTTCTTCTTGGAAAGGATACTTTCACCCACTTGGCCATGGAATCCTCCCTTACTGCTTATTTTGACGATTCTAGGTCATTGCTGTTATCAGTTAACAAATTGAAATGAAATTTCAGTAGGTATTTACTTCCTTCCATGTCTGATTGTGTCAGAAGAAGAGTGACATCAGTAGATGTCAAACACCAGTAGTGGTATTAATGCACACATAACCATTGATGTATGAACACAAAGCTTATTAATTAGTGATATCATAAGATGGTGAAATAAAATGTGGAGAAGGTCTGATTAACAGTTCTTCAGTGAAATAGATCATCATCTATGTATAACTAGATCCTAATTTGAATTTTAGAAATTTAGATAATGTAGTACTGTATTTATAGAAAGTGTACTTATAGATAAATAATATCTCTGCTTTTAATATTTTCATATCTATTGTTTTTTGTCAGATAGGTAGTTGTACCAAGTACTGGAAGTTACTTAAGATGGTATCATGATTCTTCACAGTGTTCTTTTTGATTAATGTGTTATAACTTTTTTTTAGCTATAGAAACTGTTAAAGTTATCAAAAGCTATATGTCTGTGGCAAATTTTGTGTGTTTAGAACATAGATGCAGCTCTGCTTCCAGTCATTAGTTTTCCGTGTTTTGCCACGCATGATGAGCTTATTTATAGTCGTACCAAAGACAAAATTCTGAGGAAACTACAGGGAAGTTATGGCTTTAAGAGGTTTCTGAGAGATGGTTATGGCACAGTGGAGGAAGATATAACTCGTAAATATTATGAGTCAGGAGAAACAAAAGTAAGTAATGTTTATCTTCAATAAAAGTTAGAGCTATTTTTTTTATCCTTAATCCAAATATACTACAATACTAATAATCAAGTAAATTAAATTCAGTTGGTGATTATAGCATGTATCTAATGGTTTGGATATTTTTATGAAATGGAAATAAAACTAAAAATATACTTTTGAGAGCAGTGAGTACAAATATAGTACACTAGGACATCAACATTAGTCTCAACTACCTCAACACTATAAAAAAAGACTGCGATCTCCCAGGGTGCTTTATTTAAGTAATATGCATAACATAAGACAAAACTCGTGTAGTCTGGAGAAATGACATACATGCTGAATGCCAAAAACTGTATTTTTTTAGTTCTACATTATAAATTAAATTAGCCAAGTTATTAGTACTACTAATAGCATGCACCTGTAAATAATGTTTTATAGGTTGTACAGTGCTATCCAGATACTTGTATTTTTTCAGCTTGACATATGTGGATGTTTACAATACTTGGCATATCTATGTAAAGAACAAATCAACAATAAACACATTATACAGAATTGAGATCAGTGTTTATCATCATATGACTGACAGATGAGTTGTACTACTGGATTAGAAAATATTGCTAGTTAGATAAAAAGTAAAGTAATCATGTGATTTATTTATTATAGTGAGAATGAGTGAGTTATGTTTATGGATGATTATTTGCCAACATACACTTGCATCTGAAAGAACAAACACATTACTTACAATGTTTGGCAAACTTAATTTATTAAGAATTTTTGTTGTATGATTTTATAATATATCTAGTTATTGTATTAATGTATTTTTTATTTCCCGATTACTTAGGAATTTGAGAACATTGAGTGTGAATGGCCTATGTTTTTCATTTTCATGATTCTTGATGGTAAGTGTTGATGAATTTAGTTTCTTGTTAAGGAATGTAATATCATAGATGAACATTTGTCTAGAATACCCTTGATGAAGGAAGATGTGATCTCTCTAAAGCTTTCTTATTATTTATTTGGAAGAGGAGTGTTAGATTTAGTTACTTCATACCTTGTACTTACTAGTGAAGGCTTGACTCACCAGTGCTATTGATAGTGCTATAGCTTTGTTTTAATCAAGATGTTTCTGAAAACTTCCATTGTTGTTCAATCGTAATGAAATTTGAAGTAAATAAATCAAAGTGTGTCTTTAATGTCTGAAACTTTCTACAAAGTTAGGAAATAATTTGAGCCATATATATATGTGTGTGTGTGTGTGTGTGTATGTATGTATGCATAAAAGTGAATTGTTTAGTAAGTGAATTTGTTAGTTATTTAGTAATTGGTGGATATTAAGTACAGTCCTGTGAATATTGAGTTTGTTTTGATAAAGGATTAGAGATATGAAGTTAGCAAGCTAGTGAAATTTCTATTAGATGTAGGTTATTTGTGAAGTTAGCTTGCAGTTGAACATGGTTATACTAAATGTGGAAATTCGAATTTAAGAAATAAACAATGTTTTGTCAGCATTAAGTGGGCTGGACTTTTCATGATTCTTATTATAGAATTATCCAAAAGAAACCAAACAACAATAGAAATCATTACAACAATATTAAAAATTGAGGCATAAGCAGATGATATTCGTAATGTATCATGAGCCAAGAATCACAATACTTATTCATAATAAAGACCTTATGAAATTACCTTTTTCATGAATGTGGCACCAAGAGCCCTCTATATATTTAAATGAAAACTTGCTGAATCTAGTTGCTAGAAATTACTCTTCTGGATAGCCATGTATTAGCAGTTTTTTCCAGAATATAATTCCTATATATTTCTTTATGACATTGTGAAGAATTAACTTCGAAGTAAACTTAAGAAGTTAATAAGTGCTATTAGATTATCAAAACATATATGCAAATTTATTATATTATACCAAATAGGGTTAAATTTGTCAGTGTTATCACCACCAGACCCTCTTTTGTAACTAATGCTAGCTTAATTCACTGTTGTTAAACTTACCATGTAATGTATCATATTATGATCACTGTATCACACTTTGTATCTTATTGCCACTGTTTGGGTAATACCAGTCTATAATATGTGTACTTTCCAGATATTATGACCATACTGTTGGCATAATTTAATAAATGTATTTACTAAACCTGCTGTTGCATCACTGTTTTGTCCCATATTATCAGTTATTTTTATCAAAATTAACTTTTTGGTTAAACATAAATAAAAGTTATGAAATGTCACTTGTGTTAAAAGATTTTATTTTTTATCTTAGGAATATTTAAAGGAAATGAAGAGCAAGTAAAGAAATACCAGCATATGTTGCATCCACGCTTGAAGAGAGATAAGTATGGAGGTAAATATTTACATTTTTAACTGTCTTAGTTATCAGTCTTGTAACATCAAAATATTAATAAAAATTGTAGGTATAATACAGTTCAATTTTTCACATAATGTGTGTGTGTGTGCTGACTTAAGTTATGTATTAATGATGATTGTAGCATTGACTACCTTAATTATTGTTAAGAGAATACTTTAGAAATCTGACTGACTGTTGTAACAGATGAATTTCTGTATAATTACATTTATTACTTTCACAAACACTAAAATATTTTTTTTTCATTGTATTATATTGTAAATACATAAGTTTATACAAGTTTAACATGATTAGTTTTCCACAGATGCCATTGTACCTAAGTACTTCTATGTTCCTCCTGAATGTCTGGAGCATGAGAAAGCTGAACCAGGCTCCCAACCACGTGTCCCAAGCAGTGAAGGAGATGTGGGAAATCTCTTCATGATGGGGCAGAGTCTTTATATTATGTCGCAGCTACTAAGTAAGTTCAAAATTGGATAGCAAAAGGCTTTGCTTCCGATAGGGTGTCTTACCTCTGCTAACATGTATACCTATTCTCATTCAGTGCTGCCTTCCATATGCAAGATTTTTTCCTATGCCACAAGCCTTGAAATTCCCACCTGTTCCATGATCCATGTGGTTCACAGCATCTTTGCATGCAAGTCATCATGCTACAACCCTCAACCAATAGGAGTACTACACAGCATCCTGACACGTGACTCCTATTTGATTCTACTTAACTATCACTTCTTGTTAGGCAGTTATCAAGTGCAGATGTGTTTAACATTGTATTACTTTTCACACAATATTTTCACTTTTTTTTGTTCAATTTCTAGGTTGTTCACTGTAGTTTTTTACCAAGTCTATCTCATTTAATTTCGGTTTTCTGAAGTTTGTGTCATAACTTCTACATCATCTTACTAATGCTTCACAGGTCGGTTTATTTTTCTCTTCTTATGTTTATGTTATCAATTTGCCTGTGACTTGGTAAGTTATTTTTCTATTTATTACTCTCCTTTTATGTCTTGAATCATGCTCACTGGTGAGCATTGCCTGTCCAGATATGCTACATATCTAACCCAATTCCACACTGTATGGCCTACTATAAGACATATCGGGGGTATTATATCTCCCTGGTATTGACTCGGGTGCTCCAACCCTGTGCTATGGGTAACGAGGGTTGATGTTATGGGATCCTGGATCTAATTGTCCCGTGGACCATTGTTACATGGGACATGCTGCTGGTAATACATGCACTACAGCCTGTGTATGGTCCTGTCTGGGGCTGATGTTGCATGGGCTACTCCTAACACTCCACCTCAATGGGGTTAGGCCCCAGTAGGTCGATGTTGTGTGGGGTAGCTTGATGAGAGTTGTATGGGACATCCACCCCCTCCAAAGTTGTCTTCAGGGAGTGGCTGATCTCAACAATCTCTATGTATATCCATAGCATATAACGTGCACTCGTAGGTTTTCCTTACGATATATTTGCTTCATGGTTATGCCCATTCTGGACCATACTGACCCATGGACTTTCATGGGTAAAACAGAGGAAGATAACTGCCCATCCCTGCCATCCCTTTCAATTTAATAAATCAACAGCAGTCTGCTTTTCAAAATAGGGATTTCATGGTCACCCGTTGCACTGTCTCTGGTGTCAATTTTCCTCTGGACTCTCCACCGTATTCTCATCCATGTTCTTCCAGTGGAATATGATTGGAGTCCTTGCCATTTTCCAGTTCTGAGCCACTGGGGTGGTGGGCCATGGAGGCATTCTCCTGAATGTGATCACCTTCATGTGTTTATACTGGAGATTGATGTTGTGCCCAACTTCTGTGTGGTTCTATCCTGAGGATGAGGTTTCATATAATTTTTGGGGTGATCCACTTCTGTGCAGTGGGACCTGGGGTTTGGGGTTGGGCTCCAGCTTTTGTATGCTCCTATCTGGGGATGATGTTGCAAATATTTCACAAATACACTCTTCCTCTGTGTGGTGGGTTCTGGAAGTTGAAGCTGTGCTCAGCTTTGGTGCAATTCTATCTGGAGGATGAGGTTGTGTATCTTTTACAGAGGCAATCCACTTCTGTGTGATGAGACCTGGTGGTTGATGCTGCTCTCCAGCTTCTGTGCGGCCCTATTTGGAGGATGATGTTGCTTTCAAGTAGATCCGTCACATTGCAGTTCACCCCTCAAATTGGGATCTCTTATTCTATCATCACCTAGATGTTGGTTCCCAGTGAGTAGTTTTGGATTAGAGGTGGACCAATCAACATAAATCCTCACACATCTGTCATGATCCCTCATCCTACCTTGTTTTAGGGGTTTTGCCACTTGTGCAACTTTCCAGTTGACATTACACCTACATGCAGTGAACACATGCGCTTCAGCTTCTGTGCAGTCCTATCTGGAGGATGATGTTGCATGGGGCAAATGTTGTCCTTCTATTGCTCCACCTTAGGGGGTTCATTACCAGAGGCTGATGTTGTGCTGTGTGGAACAAGTTTGATGGGTTTTGGATTTGACATGAACTGCCACATTGGTACAACTCTTCCTTCTATTGTTCTGATGGTAAGGTTCATGGATGACTGGTTGTAGATTTACACACATGTGCCCTGTTTTGTAGATTGTTATGGAAATTATCTCCTTCCATTTTACTTAACTTGAGGTGAAGTTATCGTGGACCCTTCTCCTACCACAGATTAGATGATGTATGCCAATGCCATCTGGTTTTGGACTGGAGTTGACCTGCCAGGTATGGTCTGACATGCCCAAGCCACTCTCCACCATAGGGTCATATCCATTTTTGCTCTCCCTTCATTCACATTTGTGGATGGAGATCCTACTTTCATTTGTGAGATTTTGGTTCAAACCTGCCCAGTTTTCTCTACTTCTTTAGATGTGCTCCTCATTTTTGCTTATGTATGTGACACCTATTACCAAACAGGGCAAATAGTATACCTGGTACAGAGGTGGTATTCTTTGGATGCTTGTGAACAATACTTATCTACATCCCTAGGACTGGTCTCGCCACCAGGTCAATGTTGGATTCTAGCTATACATGTGAGAGATACCATATCAAAAGTTATAATTTTCCTGTGCTGAAAAGTTATTTCCGATAGGTATTTTCCTCCTCACACCCTTCCTCCCCACTTAAAATTGGTGCTTGTTTTTTGCCTAATCTCGAAGTGTTAGTTCGTCAATACATAGATCAAAAATATAATTTATAAATTTATTGGACATAGTTTTTTTATCATTTTTGTTTTTTACAAAATGTTTTTAATTTTCTGTTAGATATAAAGGCAATTTTTGTATTGAAAGTTTCTAAGCAAAAGCTTTTGCTAGTTTTTTGTCCAGGATTGTACATAGGTTATATGATTGCTGGCCTGAGTCTAACTTTTGAAGGTAATTACTGATATTTATTTTGTATGTATTTTCTTCTTTTCTCTCTCTCTCTCTCTCTTCTTTTTTTTATGTTTTATTACCCAATGTATCACAGGTGTAGAGTGGACATGCTTGGCTCCATGTTTGCCAAGTGATTTAAAAATTTTATGTTGGTAATATCAGTGGGACACAATTCAAAGGACAATAAAATGATAAAATTTAAGTATAAACAGAGGTTATACTATTATGAGTTTAAAGCTATTTAGGATAAACAAATGTAGTTTCCTATTACAATCTGAAGTCATTCTAGAAGAAAAAAGGTTGATTTAGATGTATTTCGAATTTTGTTTTTGGTGGTTATGAGGTCAGTCAAATTGACAAATCTTGTATAGAGTGAGGATAGAGAAAATAACAGATAAATATAAAGTTTTATTGAAAATAAAAACGTTTGAAATTTGTTTAGGAGGTTTTTAAGATTATGCAAAGGAAATTTGAGTTTGTTGAAACGAAGAAAGGTATTTTTTTAATCTTAACATGAAAATCACTCTCCACTCCGAGCAGTCAACGCTTTCAATCCATATATTCATGGAGAAATGTTTAGTGAAATTACTTCAATAAAAATTTTGATTTTTGCTCTATAAATGGCTCTTAATGATTACTGGAAGCTTGTGAAATTTTGTGAAGATACGAAAAACATATTAGAAATTGTAGTATGGAAACTATAAAAGTCAATTTGTGGTCACTAATACAGCTGGTTCAACTGAGCCTATAGCAAGAGAGTTAAAGCAGTTGTTTAAATGTGTTTTAAGGCATGTGTGTTCTTGATGTCATTGTAGATATAATATTAATTTGATCTGCCTAGTTTGTGAGATATAGAGATTTACTGAGTTACTTCCATACAGAGAAAACAAGAATCAAGTTGAAAATGATTTTTTTTTCATTAGATCAGATTATTCCCTCTGGCTTAGCTAATTAGTATTTATTACATGTATGTAATAACTTCTACCAGAAGAGCTGCTAAAGTTCTTATAATAACAATTACAGTTGATAATAAATAGTCTTAATTATGAGTAACAGGCAACCTACAAAAAAAGCCTATGACCACTCCGCTCTAGGTCATGAGTTAAGAATCCTCAGTGCTAGTAGTATTTTTGGCATTGCAACTTGTTCTTAAGCTATGTTTAAGAACATACTTTTTTAAAGATAAGGCATAAAGCACAGTTAAAAACTATTAATATGATCCATAGTGGTTGGGAAAGAAAAACTTTTTTTTTTCATTTCTTTATAACCTCACCATACATTACTTTTTACAGTTGATGGGCTTGTACACATCAATGAAATGGATCCTATTCGTCGTTACCTACCTTCATATAACAGACCCAGAAAGTCTGGAAGGTATTCTGCCTTCCAAGTAAGTTGCATTCTTGGCAAAATATGAAACTGTTCTCTGACACTCATGTAATTAGTTTCTAGTAATCATTTTTTTACTGTTTTTCAGATTGTAAAACAAAAAGGTGGTAATTGGAGTAGGTACATCCTGTTACATGCAATATATAAAAATGTCACTGAAAAAGCTGAGTGCAAGCAAGTAAATAAAAAGGATCATTAATTGAAGTAAAATAAGCAAACTTTCAAAGTTAGGTTTTATGAAATCCTTAAGGTAGTTTTGGTTAATGAAAACTTGTATAAAAATTTTGTATGCACTCTGAAGCAGTCATTTGTGAAACACACGAGTGTCCCTTGTCTTACAATGTTTTTTTATTATTAAGTTGAGAAATGTAATAATATAATATAGAAGTTGTAATGTGTAACAATTACACTGAAAATGGTCACAACTGTAATACCCATTGAAAGTGGCAATACTTATATTACATTACTAAGAATAGTACTGAAACACACTGTTAGAAATGTGCCTGTTTCCACTGAATTTCCATGTGAATCATATTATGCACTGCTTTGTAGGATTTGTAAAAGTAAGCTGCATCAAACAGCCAGTTGCAATCAAGATATTATGAAGATAGAAATTCATAAACTGCCAAAGAAGGTTGTTTAGTGAATGCAGTTGAGGTGGCGTGAATGTCCAAGACTTTTAAGCTCACCTTCTTGTACCCCAAATCTGTTGAAGGCAATACACCCAGAAAATGAAAAGCCAGTAAATGTGATTTTGTGCAGTGATAGCTTGACTGTGTAAAATAGATAACACCTTTGAAAGGTTTTGTGAAACAAACCAGCATGTATTTTATATTCATTTATTGGGATCTTAGAGTGTGCAGTACTGTAGGCCAGTACATCTGCTTTTTGTGGATATTATTGCATTTTTGATTCTCAAAGTGGAAGTGGAGAACAAAGAAAAATACCAGTCAGTGAAACAGTGGATCCAGATGTGAAAGAATCTTGAAGGAGTTAGACTAGTATGTTGTACAGACCTGTTATAACTGCTCTAGAATCTGCCCCCTTGTAATAGTTAAGGTAACCATGAATATCTTACTGTACTGCAACATTCAAGAAAATGGTGGGGTATTTGGGGAAGGTCTATACCTCATTTATAGTAATAGATCTGGCTGTGCTACATCACATCCAATGATAATTTGTGACAAAACATACGTAAATACTTTGACCAATACGGAACCCAAACCTGAATCCAACTGAGGCATTCTAGAATATTTTGACTTATCTGACAGACACCAAACCTCGTTACACTTAGAACTGCTTTGCAAGAGGATTGTTATTTGTTTAACCAGATATGCAGCAACTATCACTGGCAAAACAAGGTGTGGTGTCACAACATTTCTCATCAAAGCAAACTACCTATATAGGTCAATACTAAAAAGTAACCTAGTAATTAATATAGTTAATTTGATATATCAGACTAACTAGGAGTATTGAAAGCCATAAAGAAAAACTTAGAATGATTAAAATACATTGGTTCATTGGTTGGATACCCTAACTGTTAGCAGTAGTTTTGTCTGTAATTCCAATATTATCTCTCATATTTTGACAAGCTTAGAAGATTTAGATTAGTCCTAAGTCTATATACTTGGCTGACAATGCAAAATAATCATAATGATAATTATATATATATATATATGTGTGTGTGTGTGTGTATGTATGTATGTGTATATATA